GGAAATACACTTCAGCTTACAATAATAGCAACAGGAAAAACATTAGTGTCCAAGTGGGCCCACTTAGTTCAGAGCTCTACTGGTCAAAGGTCAACTGTAAACTGTACATGAATTTTCAATTACACAGGAGGCTGGCACCCCTATCCCTACAACATTTAAGTAAGTGTCAACTGTATACTAGTCCAGGATAAGAAAACTACCTAACCCTAAGAGTAAAATGCATGTAAGAAATCATGGCAAAGTAAAAGGAAACAAAATAGCGAATTCCCACTCAATTCCAGAAACTATTCCTATGACTGATACTAAGAACCACCTAAAATACTTTTTCCTTGATAAAATTCTTGGGATTTACTAGAAAGTAATCCAAGCAGAGTGGGGGGTAGGAGGTGTTCAATGGACTATATTATATTCTCTTTGCATATTCTTGAAATTTTCCTTTATAAAACATTTTCTTAATGCTCATAATTATGTGTCATGTTGATTTCAACTCATCAAAACCATGTTTTATGAATTCCTTATATAAAAAGGATCAAAGATACTGGGAAAATTGTGTGGAGAGCATAATAATGGCATCTGGGCTCTGATGACTTCACAAGGGTGAAAATCACTCCTCTTTAGAGCAACAGCCTCATTCTGGAAAGGTCAGCAAGAGAAGAAGATCCTCAACGACATATACTGGGAATATAGTAATGAATGGGCTCAAGTGTCAGAGATGATGAGGATGGCACAGCACAGGAGAAGGTTTAATCCTTCATTCACTTGTGCATAGGGCTGCTATGAGTCATACTCAACTGGACGGCATTTAACAGCAATATAGCAACAGTCCAAAGCTAATTTCTATGCAGTCAGACATAACCCCATGCTCCACACTCTAAACTTTTTCTGCCAATTCTATGCCAGCCATAGAATTTACAGACAATAAACACAAATAACTGCATTTATTAAGGAAATAATAGGTTACTTTCAGGTTCAGGAATAACTCAGGATACAGTTCATCCATCAAGATAGCCTCTTTTCAGCCACACTTGAATGCAGAGCTCTCTCTGGCCCCTGACCTTGTGGACTTGGTCTCTGCCTTGCTCGGGAAAGTGTTACAAAACTCCCTTATCACTGCCAAGAAAGACTTCTCTCTGGCCTCAGCATCATGGTCTTGGCATCTGCTTTGGTGGGCAAGTTCCAAAGCTCTTCTAATTCTACCACCCCAAATGCCAATGGCACTCTATTCTTCCAAAAGCCTGGGCCTGGAGGCACTTGGAGCTCCTGAGTCAGCAAACCTAATGCTTTGGCAAAGGTCTAGAAGCATCAACTCCACCAGTAAGTAAGCCTCTCGGCCTAAGACACTCAGCCTTCTTATTCTGTGAGCTGAGAGCCCACAGCTCTGTCGTGAGCTGGTTTTCTGGCATTCTGCTGTCTCTGCTGATGTCATCTTGTCATGTCCAGGTTCAAGGAATCTCGGGATCAAAGGACATGTCACACTCTCTGCCTCCTCTTCTTTTTTTTTAGTGGTGAGATTCTCATTCTATGCCCTTCAGAATGGCGCTCTTAAAGCCTGGTCTTTCAAAACATGGTAAAACTGATAAATCCCCCCATTAGCATTCTACACGTTATTTGGATGGTCTCACCCAAAATAAGACTGTGGTGATGGCAAAGAATAGTGAATATATGAAAGACAGTTAAAAAATAAATCTATCTTAGAAGGAGACATACTGCATTGGGAAAGACTGCAGTCAAGACTTCTGCAAATTACTGAGGAGCAAAGATGTCAGAAGACTAAGATGTGTCTGGTTCAAGACATAGTGTTTTCAATCACTTGTTATGTGTCTGAGAGCTGGACAATTAATAAGGATCACAGAAGAAGAATTAATGCCTTTGTGCTCAGGTATTGGAAAGAGTAGGGAATATCCCACAGACTGCAAAAAGAACACCTTGGAGAAAGCGCAACCATGATGCTCCTTGGAGGCAAAGATGACAGAGCTTTCTCTCATATTTTGGGCATAATGTTAGGAGAGGCTTTTCCTTAGACAGAGTACTCATGCTGAGAAAGGTGGAGGGTTGGCAAAAGAGAGGAAGATACTTGACAAGATGGACTGACATGGGCTCTAGTGTGTTAGAGATGATGAGGATGGTAGAAGATAGGACAGGGTTCAGATCTGTTGTTCACAGGTTGGCTAAAGGTTGCACCTAACAATTACAACAATCTTAGAAGAGCAGCCAGAATGCTTGTTAAAATAGAGCATGATGAGACTGGTCACACTTAATGTGGCCCTATTATCAGGAGGGGCCAAGTCCTGGACAAAGATACCATACTTGGTAAAATAGGAACCAATACAAACCCCTTGCCATCTAGCTAATTGCAACTTACAGAAATCCTCTTGTGGGTTTCCTAGGATGTAAACCTTTACAGGAAAAACTGCAATCTGTGGTCCTCAAAGCAGCTGGTATAATCATACCACCAACCGTTCAGTAAACAGCCAACATCATCAGGACTCCTTTGGTAACGTAGAAAATCATCAAAAAAAAGAGAAAAAATTCTCCACAAGAGAGACTAGCAGAGCAGCTGCAACAATGGGCTTACACACACTAGAAACTGTGAAGATGGCACATGTTTGAGCAGTATTTTAGTCAGTGAGAGTTGAAGTCAACCCAACAGTATTTAGCAACAACAACCTAGAAGATACCATTTGCCTTATTTATATTATTATCAAGCTTTCCCATACTGGGCCACAGACACCTCATATTTGTGCCTTCCGACCAGCCATTAGGTGGGAGTTAAAAAGACTATGACTTAGAACAGACTTATGAAGTAACACAGTGCACTGAAGATACAGAAGCTCAATGTAAAATAGTGAGATATGAGTGGGCATAGTCAATACATATTAAATATATATTATCAATTATGATTAAGTTCTGAATTTCAGGTTCTTACACACCATGTGACAATGGAAGATGACTACATCATTACATGACTGTCAAATTATTACATAATTGCCAAACCACTGAGAACCATTGTCTTCCCAAGACAACATATCATGTCAACCTGTCACATCAATCACTACTCTCACCTGCTGTAGTTGTCATGTGCTGTTCTGTCAACTCTAAGTCACAGCGACTCCATGTACAATAGCTCTGATTCCTGCTCTAGCTTGAGCCAATATCTCTTAAATTATTACTGCTAGAGGTACATCATTAATGAGGAAAACAGGCAAGATTTTTTTTAATTATTATTTTTTATAAATGCAAAATGACACCTAACAAAATAGTCACTAAGTGACGAGTAGATATAGTTAAAAGTAATTCATGGAGTTTTGTGATTGAATCGTAAATGAAAGTCTGTACAAATTTATTATAATGCTTTTTCATGAAATGCTTTTATAAAAGAAAAAGATGTATCACTATATTGTTCCTCCACTATTGCATGCAGGAGAATCTCCAAAGCCAGTGCTGCAGGAACACATCAGTAAGACTTTCGGCTGGGCACCCCAGACCTCAACAGCACTGGGAAAAGGAACACACTGCTGCTATTAATGGGGTGTACAATAACAGGACAAAGTCTCAACACAGAACAGAGCTGCTTTGATGAGTCTGCCATTTGCTATTCATTAGCACTGGCATACATGCCATAAAATATTAAAAACCTTTTTCAAAGCAGAACATTTTGTGGAAAACCCAGTAAAATTAAATATAGTCTAGAGATACAATATTAAAAGTTCATCAATATTCAGGTATAGAGTGCATCAAAAAGCCATACTATCCACAAACTAAGCAAGCACTGGTCCAGATTGAAGACAGGAGCAGATACTTTTCTTCCCACCTTCCTTTTAACACAACATTTCTGCACAACTAGTTTTCTTTTGTTTTTCATTCTGAAAAGTATTTTCCATCCATGTCCCTAATGAAGCTTGAAATTAACACAGGCTTTTCAATTCCTTCTTTGTGCACTGGCCATGAAGCAAGAGTTTGAATCCAGGATGCATCACAAGGTAGACACAGGCCAGTATTACAGAAAATCATTTATTTTTAAAAAAGATGAAGCACTGTTAATATGTCCTCAGGAATGATGAAAATGTGGTTGGCCCAACAGTCCAATTACTTCTATCCAGAAACATAAACTCATAGAGAATATGCAGATGTCCCTATCACAATACAATCAAGGGGCGTGGGGTGGGAAAAGTTTTCACTATAACCTACTTTCTCAGGAACCTGGAGAAAAAAGAACCATGTGTTTTCAGTTTTTACTCCATTTTATTCAAAAGTCAAACTCCCTTCCTTTGATTTACAAACAACTCATAGCTGACCCTTCAGCAGATTTCTGGAGTATACTAATCACACAGGAAGAGGCTGTCCATCTGTCTCTCGTGGAGCCACTGGGGGATTCGAACCACAGGAAAGATGCTTTTCTTAGGTTAGCAGCATAACCACGTAAAGAATATGCTAGTAGCCAACCAAAAAAAAAAAATCAGAAACATACCTAACCGAATTAATGCAGCAAAAATGAAACTGCTTCACATCCTCTATAATTATCACATAAAAATAAGAGGAAATCATCAAAAAGAAGAGTTTGGGAAACAGTGTCTATCACCAAAAAAACCAAGAAATATGGACTTAAGGAGTTTCTAGGTGGTACAAATCATTACCAGACTCAGCTAAATGAAAGGTACAGAAACTAGTGTTTTAGTCCGACACACAAAGGTCACCCTAAGTAGGAAATTAATTGGTGACAATTAGGTGATTTTAGAGAGGCTATTCCTTGGATAGGGACTTCATGCTTGGAAAGGTGGAGGGTCAGCAAAAGTCAGGAAAACCCTCCACCATGTGGATTGACACAGTGATTGCAGTAATGGGCTCAAATATGTCAGATGATGAGGATGGCGCAGGATAGGACAGGTTCAGATCTGTTGTTCACAGGGTCACTACCTGACTTAATGGCACCTAATAACAAGTGTCAGGTTAGAGTTCTCCTCTGTTTTAATTGGGATTTTTTATCATTTCTTTGTACTTACCATGACAGGAGGCCCAGATTAGGAGGAGAGATCCCCGTCCCTTCAATGTCTGGTGTGGTTCTTCTTTCCCTTATGCCAAGATCTTAAAAAGAAAAACAAGGGCAAAATTTTCTAAAAATATTCCCCCAAAACTGACCAATATCCTAAAGAAACTATGTTTACATGGACCTGAAGACCTAATCAGAGTCAGTCTTTAAAAAAAAAATAGTGACTAGTTGTGCTGCATGCCTCTATGATTCAGAGCCATCCATCAGTGGCTCCTTGGAAGATAAATGAGCAATCGCTCTTCTCATGCCATGTACAGTCTTGAAAATCCAGGGGAGGGTCATCTATGAGTCAACTCTAACTCAACAGCAAAGACTTTATTATTCCCCAGGAAAAGCCACACTCTATAAAGCCTTTGCAAAATTATCCTGGCCTTAACCTTTTCCTGCTAAAGAAATAGCAATTATTTATATTCTTGATGCTAAAATTAATAAATATCTTGAAACTTGGATGAAAATAATTAAGGCATAATAATGCAAATCAATCTACAGATGCAAAACTATAGTCTTAAAATATTTCAGGGGTTGTGTTTGTGCTTATCTTTATGTAAAACATGAAGCTAATGCTTTATTCTATATTGTTTTCAAAACTGACATAAATTGTGCTATTCTTTTTACCAGATTTTTAAGGATCAACAATCCATTTGTGGGTTTTTGGTGGTTTTTTAAGTTCTAGCTGGAATTTCTCCTAAAAGACTTGCTATAAAACATTATTTTACCAAACAAATATTTTATACCCAGAATAAATAAAATAAAACCCCAGGTTTTATTTCTGTTATAATGACTATATTCATAACGACTCATTCAAGAAAGTAAGATTAAAATAAGAAACCAATATGAGAGTAAAAAATACTTTAGAAAGCTGGTAAGTTGTAAATTAGAATAACTCAGTAATTCCTGATTTAAGGAAATTCTGAGAGAAAGAAAAAACTCTTAGGAGAATTTGTTTGTTTGCAGTGAGGAAAAAAGACGAAAGTAGAAAATGCAAAAAAAATTATGAGAAAGGAAGAATGGTGAAGAATATGTGTAAGGAAAAGTCCACGGGGTAGGGCTGGGACAGAGTTGGCAAAGAGGGGCAGGCAAAAGAAGCCAAAGCTCTCTCTTTGGGCAAAGAGAAAAGATAAATGGAGGAGAAAAAAATGAGGAAGGAATGAGAGTCAGAATGCCCAACTAGAAAACCAGAAACTACTGAGAACATTCTACCTGGCTGGCTGACTGGGAGAGATCCCTATTTATTCCCATTCAAAAATAAAAAAAACAAACAAAAAAAACCTGACCCAGTAGAATGTGGAAATTATAAAAAAGTATCACTAATATCACATGCAAGGAAAATCTTCTTGAATAGTATCCAAAAACAACTAGAACAGTATAGCAACAGAGAACTGCCAGAAATACAAACTGGATTTAGAAGAGGCTGTTACACCAGAGATATAACTGGTGATGTGAGATGTCTCTTGGCTGCAAGCAGAGAGTAGCAGAAGGACATCTATTTGTGTTTTATCAACTATGCAAAGGCATTTGACTGTGTGGATCACAACAAATTGTGACTAACATTGAGAAGAATTGGAATCCCAGAACACTTAATTGTGCTCATGCAAAACCTATACCCACATCAGGAAGCTTTTGTCCAAACAGAGCAAAGGAACACTGCATGGCTCAAAATCAAGAAAGGAGTACATGAAGGATGTATGCTTTCTCCATACTGGTTCAATCTATTTAAAGAAAAGATCATTCGGGAGGCTGCATTTTATGAAGATGAAATGTAGCACCAGGCTTGGAGGGAGACTCAAGAACAATCTGCATTATGCTGATGACACAACCTTGCTTACTGAAACTGAGGCGGACCTGTATACTGGGTCTTCAATATGGACTGCATCTCAATAAGAAAACAAAGATCTTCACTACCAGGAGAAAAGGCAACATCATCATGTTGTTATGTGCCGACCAGTCAAGGACGACTCACAGTGACCCTATGAACAAAAGACCTTAACGCTGTTCTGTAACTACTGTCATTTCTTTAACTTTGCAGTTTCCAGAGACATGTTGTTTAGGAAGTGGATGCCATTCCTGCTTCCAAGCCTGTCTTAATCTCGAGCTTCACCAAACACTGTTAAGCATGTGTAACCATTATAGCATTTGAGACACCAATGGCAAAGCAATCAGTATCAGAGCAACCCCAATTTTCCTCAGTACAGCAAACTGACAGAGCAGTGCTGTATCACCTGGGAGAATGTTCACTTCAAACACAAAGGAACATGTTGTTGTTGTTGTTGTTATGTGCCGTCGAGT